TACATTTAATTCTATCAATTATTTCTAAGATTTAGCAAATCTCTCAATTAAAATATTTTACACTAATTTACCTTAAAACTAAATGTTATACATAAATATATATAAGATACATAATTTATTATTATAGTATAAACAAGCCAATATGTATTTTTTTAATTTTAATTTTGTTTTCAAATATTTTATAATAGATTACTTTGTATTTCTGATAATATCACTTCATCTAAATTATATACTTGCTAAAGATTTTAAATATATCACAAGTATTAGAGGCATAAATAAATAGGGCTATATATCAAATTAAAATTTTAAAAAGACTAAGTTCAAAAAAAATAATGAAAAATTATCAAGTCAAAGGTTCTATATTTAAAAATTAAAATACTTATATAGTATTCTAACTCTAATATTTGTAGAATCTTAAAATAGAGTTGCTAATCTAATTAAAACTTACAAAATCCCATCCATTTGTAAAATATATTCAAAGTTTAAAATGATCAAACTCTCAATGTCTATAAATTTATATAATTACAAAAACATTCAATGATATATTTTAAATTTAAAATCCAAAAGTGTTTTCAAAACTTAAAAAATATTCTTTTATAGCCAAAGTCAAATTTCTAAATTATTTATATTTTTGGAATTTTAGATAATAAAAATAGAAGGAGAAAGAAAAAGAGGAGTAATTAGTTAATTCGAAATCCAAAAATAATGAAGCCCAAAAGTTGGAGAGACCTATGTAACTATAAATTCCAAACCTTAAACCTTAGAGAGTATGGTGAAAGTTAGCATGCTTATATACAATCTATTGCATAGATTTAAAACATAAGATATATGATATTAAGTTATTTATATATATAGTATATTTAAAAAATATTCCAAATATAATATTTTACAACCATAAGATACAAATATGCTTATATAAGCTACTTATTTTATTATCTTAGTAAAAATAAATCTATTTTATTTTTATTCTTTATTCTTTTTTAAAATTTAATACATAAAGAGTAATTTTGTAATTTTAAAACTCATATCTTTTAAAAAATAGATTTTATAAAGATTTTAAATGTACCATTAGAATCATAACTATCTCAAAGAAGGAAAAAAATTAACTCAATTTTTTAAAAGATAAAGCATAAAAAGTCAAAAAAAAAAGTACCAACTAAAACATGTAAATTATACTATTTTTCAAAATCAACCATAGTAATAAATATACTTATTTTTTTTTCACTAGTAAAAATTTAAATACAAATTGATGTTTAAATTAAAAATATTCAAAAAAATCTTCAAAAAATCATAATCAAAGTAATTTTGTTTAGTAGAAAAGATCTAAAAATATAAATATAAAGTGCTTGAAAATATTTTCAAAATGCAAACACTATTTTGGCTATTGCAAAGACAAACTTAGATTAACAAGTGTTTATTTGATAAAGATGAGAGGAAGGAATTTCAATAATGGACATCATCTCTTTTTTAGAAATTTCAAAAAAAATCTAACCACATCTAATTATTATATAGAAAAAAATTATAAATTATAAAAATCATAACATAAATTAATGCAAGATCTAAAAAGCTAGTCTTTTTTTTTTTAGAATAAAGTACTAAAAATATTTAAATTCATGAAGAAGTAACAAGAGAAAGTGATTAATACCATTCTAAATAAATATTATAAAAATTATAAATAAACATTATAAATATTATAAATAAAAGTAAAATCTTTGGCAGTATTAGATTATTTGGCTTTCTTGGCAAAAATTCTTGCGATACATTCTACACATCTTTGTAGATTTAAAATTGAAGTTGTAAAGAATTTAAGGGAATCTTGCTCCAAAACATCTAATATTTTAAACCCTGAAGTCCTCATACAAGTAACAAGTTATAGCTTTTGCAATACATTCTCTTACATTGAAAATGCTTCTTTTTCGCAAAATTTGGCTTGAGTTGTAAAAAAAAAGATGCTCAAAGAATTTAGTTGTGCATCATCTACAAAAATTATCTAGTGATCACTATATAAACTCATTCATAGAGTAAATCCTTGACAAGAATGCTTACTTGTAACCATTTTATTTTATTTTTTATTTTTTTATTTTACCATGTCCTTGACTTTTACACCCCAAGTTGAGATATTGTTAACACACATTTGTAGTGTGCTAATTCAATCATTAAGTCAAAGAAGATGAACCACTCTTGGTATACATTCTCATAACCAATACATTTATTGTTCCTTCTTTTGAAAGAATATTTGCATGCATGCCAAATGTGACCCAATTATTATCACCTAAACAATTCACATGCATTCATGCAAGACCAATACATCACATGTGGTTAAAAAATAGTAATTCATTATTTTGTTCACTGTCAACTAAACAAGCTTCCACGATGGTACATTCTTGCCATTTTAAAAATCTAAAGAGGTTTGAGAGGTCCATGCCTTAATGCAATTGAAGTTACCACAACATTCAAAAATCATACATTAAAATGCCGCATATGTGATTATGATGGTACATGCGTTGGCCCCTTTCAATATTTCAAATCCAAAACTTTCAAAAACTCATCCATATAATGAATTATAAAATCTTTTTTTACACCTTCATACATAAATGATCTGACTTCATCAATCATAAATAAATTAATAAAGTATTTCTTTTAGTTGCAATTGTAAAAGCATGAAGCGATTTAAAAACAAATATGTACAAGTTCATATATTATTATAAGATGGCCAAAAAATATACAATTTATAGAAACATGTAAGTGCAAAACATAAAATACATTGTTATTTTTTTTGCTTTGAGATGTAACGGTTGATTTATTTCAAGTATTAGTATTTAGTTCCCTCTTAAATAAATTGAATTCATTTTAGATATTATATTATATTATTAAATATTACTACTTTATTCACATATACATATAAATATATATATATATATATATATATATACACAGACCTTAAATGAATGTGGTCATGAGAGAATGTCCATGATATCAAGAAGAAGAAGAAGAAAAAAAAAAAAAAAAAAAAAAAAAAGAAGTTAAAAAATAATCCTTAAGACTTATGATATCTTGGTAAATCTATGTATGAAGCTGCATAGCTTGTTTAGAATGTAAAATTTATCTCATTTGGAATAATAACTGAAAAGGAATGGTCACCTGAAATGGTGATGACTAGAGACATCTAGATGACATAATCCTCCATGCAAAGAAGGATATAACTTTTGTGCAATGTATCCATGTAGATAAATTATATAGTTCTATTTAAAGAAATAAAATATTAGAGTACTTTTCTTTTGTAATATTTATTATTTTTTAATTTATATATATATATATATATAATTAAAATAAAAAATAAAAAATTAATCATAACAACCAAAAATTTATATTATAGATTTTTTTTATCAATCACTGGCCCTATTTACATTCGTTAATTAAAAAAAGATATACATTTGATCAAATATTTAATTTTTTGATAGATTATTCACAAGATGTAGAATACCTTAATTTTGTTAATATAATTTTTAAATTTATTAAAATATTCTCTTAATTCTAGTCTTGAATCTAGTATTGCTTCTAATTTATAATTTTTTATACTTTTAATTTATAATCTCTTAGCATATTGTTCGTAAATCTTTAATATTAATTTTTAAAAATTATTTTATCAAAAATATAAGGTCAAAATATCTTAATTTAAAGAATTATGTGTTGAATTAATTAGATAGAAGACCAAGTACAAGACTAGAAACAAAGCAATTTCTAAATTGCTCAAAAGTTATATTAGCAAGACTAAATAATTTCTTATGTTGCCCTCTTACTTACACTATGATAACTACATCTTAGAAAAACTTTTAGAAGACGTTTTAAGAATTGTGAAATAGCTTAGGAATCTAAATGAGATTTTATAAGAACTTTAAGAACACTACATAATATTCCAAATAGTTGTAGAAGACTATGTAAATTTTTAGAAGATTATAGTAGATTTTGGGAGACTTTAATGGCTTAAAAAGATGTATATAAAGTAACACACATATATAGAAGATCTTCGAAGGTTCTTAAGTATTTTACAAGGTGTTCGTAACCACTAATTTGTTTTATGTCCTTAACATTTAAGCTTTTAGAATATCCTCCTTTAAATTTAGCTATTTGATCAGATGTTGATACATTTTAATAATTGAAAAGAAAAAATTTAAAAACTTAAATTTTTTATCAACCACAAGATTGTGCTAATAAGAATTAATTTTTCTATATTTTTTATACAATATATTATATTTAAAATCTTACTAATATATATAAAATTCGAAGTAGTTTGCTCAAGAATATGCATTAATTCCGTGTTTATTCAATCAATGGTTTCTGTTGCTACCATTGTATTGTGGATACAAGTGTCCCAATCACTTTTTAACCTTTATCATTGGTAAACTAGCAAACTTATCTTTTGACAACTCCTTTTGGGATATTATTTCAAAATATCCGAAACTCATTTCTAAAAATTGTAGATAAAACCATCAACTTTTGAAACCTCAACTATACATACTAAGAAAAATACAACATGTAAGGAGAACCAATACATGAAAAATATAAAAATATCACTCAATAATCATTTTAAAGATAATGTTATCTAAAATAAAATCAGCTATAAAAACACCCAACTCCTCAATTTATAAATATTCCACCCACATAAATGCATACATTTTTCAAAGATTAATTCATTTATGTCCCACATCTCTATGGTCAGAAAACTACTTTGCCATAACTTCAACAAAAAAATAAATCAAAATCAAGTCAGCCAAACTTTGTGCAATGGACAACTGCATGGAACTTTATTTCAAGAGCACTATGACAACCAACAAGCAAGGACAGTCTTCTCAACGTTGTTGTGGGTACCCACAGGAGAAGCACCGGGCAGAGCTCTTTCTCTAACTCTAACTCTAACTCTCTTTCTCACACTCACTGTTTATTATCTCATTGCCGGAATGAGAATGCCAAGCTAACTCATGCAGACTCATTGACGGTCCATTCAGACAGTCACCGTGACCATGGGCCCCAACAGAATGAGCTGAGAAGTGTGAGATTCTGTGTCTCTATCTCTGTCTGTGTGTGTGTGTGTTTGTGTGTGTGTTGAACCAACCCAGTTGTCAAACTAGGGGAATATGGCCCCGCGTCGTAGCTGCAAACTCGGATGGATACAACCTCACAACGGTGGACATCTTTCCCGTGCAAGTTCCTGCGTCGTTCCTGCGCAACTGTGCATCACATCCTGGGTGACACTGCTTTGGCAACTCCAAGTTTCCCATTTAAGAAAGCTCTGGATGTGATCCATGGAGAACTGGCAGAGCACTTGTCGATGTGCACAGTCCAGACCAGACCGAGAGAGATAGAAAGTGGCAGGTGCTGTTGAGTTTGAGCAGAGTTGGGTGAGGAAGTGGGTGCAGGAGGAGAAGGTAGAGCGGAAAGAGTGAGGAGGAGGGAGGGAGGGGGTAATTATCACAAGCTAGCAATTGCTTGAATCCTTTTGGGTTATTTTTGCAACATGGGGAGCTTGGGTGGGGAGTCAGTGGTTGTGAATCCAGAGTTGAATGGAGAAGCCAAAGTTGTGACTGATGTGCAATCGGGTGGCGCAAGTCTCAAGCAGGGAGAAGGAAAAGATGATGCCCCTAAGATTCACTATTTTGCGAGACCCAATTCTACCACTCTTAGTACCGTTGTTGTTATATTTTTGTACCATATGCTGCCATTCACCGCTCTTCCCAACATCGGCCTGTTGTATTTCCCCTTTTCCCTGTACAAGCGATCGGAGTACGTGAAGTTGACGCTCTACTTGGGCTTAATGCTTGTTCTTGTTGTCATGCCGCCTCATTACTCGAAGACTCTGCGAAGGAAGGTTCGATGGTTGTATGAAGAATTGGCTGTTTATCTGCCGAGTGCGAAATTCGTTATTGTTCCCCAGGAGCCTCTGCCTCAAGGAAAGGGATACATCTTCGCAATCCACCCGCATGGTCGCATGTTTTATTCCAACGCCATGTTTTCGCAATTGCATGAGATTTGGAGAGCGCCTCTCGGGCTCACCCACGGTACAAACTTGTTTCTGAAACTACATAGTGTTTTAAAATTCCTTCGGTACGAGTGTTCTTGAACACTTCACGAGCTGAGATTGACTAACTACCACACGTTCGCTGTTCCTGAGTGGTAATTGCCTGAATTTCAAACTACCGAACACATAAATCTTGTTGATTATCTGAAAGAACGGCAAAGTTTTTGAACAAGCTTCAGATTGTTTGAGTTTAACTGGTATGTGGGCAACGGATGCCAGGGGATTTGTTCCAAACTGCTGCGGGAGGGTTTTTTAATGTGCCGATTGCAAGGAATTGGTTCTACAGCATTGGGGTAATGCCAGTCACCAAGAAGAATATCGTAACTAAGCTAAGGAACAAGGACCATGTAAGTATCCCTCGTGCATGTGCTCAATTTCGCCAGGTCGTAGCTATTTAGTATGATATTTTTGGTAAATTTCAACAATTAATTCAAAAACATTTTGGCAAGAGAGCTTGTTCAATTTGCAAGCTGTTCCAATCGTGAGCATCTATTCAGATATTAGGGGTTGTGGGGGTAGACATAATTTCACACGAAGTTAAGCACTGTGCGTGCAGGTAACCATTGCAGTTGGAGGAGTGAGAGAGGTATGTTTGGGTACCGACAACGAAGCTGATTCTCTGTACCTGAAGAACAGGTACTTATCACACAATCCTTTTTGCACTTAATTTCATTTTTGAACCACAAGCTCAACTCCTTGCTATAATCGACGATGGCATATGTTTTAGGTGGTCAACTCCAGCTTCTTCACTGTATTAGTGCTTGTTGCTAGTGCTTGCTGTGTAATTGTTTTCATCAACTTACCCTACGTTTGTTCGTCTTCACGTTATTCTATTGAATAACTAAAACTTACAAACAAGGGCGTGGTTTCACAGGAGAGGGTTTCTTCGGATTGCTATGGACGAAGGTGCCGGTGTAGTGCCTGTTTATGCCTTCAATGAAAACCAGGTACAAGTTCTGTAGTTTGCTTTGTCTAAATCCCAGCAGATTCTTCCCTTCCAGGCAAGTTTCAAGCACTGATTGGGCCGCATCAAGTCCTTAGAGACCTACCAACTCACTGTAAGCTCCGGATTGTGCAGCTGTTCAAGCATGATCCCAAAGCTGTTCTGAACTTCTGGCAATGCGTTAACAAGTATGTGAAGATTGGTGTTCCATTTATGCGAGGAATCTGGAACTTGCCCATGCCATATCGCAAGTACGCACCTCATCCTCTTCTCTAAATCACCCTAATTATATTTCTTATTACTATTATTATCATTGTTATTATTATCCTGTCAGTAATCCACAAATAAAATCAAGTCTGTCTAAATATTTCAGTTTTGCCACATAGCAACAGATTAGACGACCTTCACAGCCGGTCCTCTTCGTAAAATGAAGAAACAGTTCGATTGTTCTGCCTCAAAGTGTGTGCAATCTGATGTTTTTAGTTGGCATTCGCAGGGAAATTCTTCTAGTTTTCGGCGATGCTTTGTTTGCCGAGGAAGGGGAAAGCATTGAGGACTTCCATGGGCGATACATAGACAACTTGAGGCAGCTGTTCGATAAGTATGTGAAGTACTCGCCAGATCCAAACCACAAGCTAATCATCTGTTGAGTAGAATTGCACACTTGAAATGCAAATTCTTATTCCTTTTTCTGAAGTTATTGTGAAGACAAGTTGCTGTGAGCAGAGAGTCTAGTTGTTAGAACATTCATTTAACCATAAAGTGCCACAACCCATTGTCACAAATTCTTTGATTTTTGATTTTTTGATTTTTTCCTGGTTTTGCAACTGACGAGCCAAAACTGGCAGACTCATTTGGATGTGAACCCATTGTGATAACTTGATGTAATTGCATTACTTGATACATTGTGGACATTTCGCAGCCCTGAAAATATTATTAGGCATGACGACCTATCGTGTGTTTCATCTTGGGTCTCTTTGTGCTTATCCGACATTTCTTTGGAACTTTGCTTTCAAACTTCTCCACCGTGCGTGCAAGATCTCCCATAAAACAAGCTATAGATATGGTGATCCATTCAATGAATCACTCCTTTTTCTTTTTCTTTTTAACAATAAAACTTTGTTCAGATTTCAGGAGCTCTCACTTTTTGATGCAGGAGAAGACTGATGGAACTTTAAGGAATAGTGCAAATCCGCGTAAACCGTAGTGAATTTCATAATTTTAATGTCTCTCATAATCTTAAATCAAATTCAGCGACTTATATCCCAAGAATAAATCCAATATGTATCATGGTTATATTGTGGTTTATGACAATGTGTGAGTGGCAAACATTTAAAGTTTCTCAAAAAACTACATTTTCTTTTCAGTTAATCTGTTTCAAAATTTCCACCACATAACTAAACTAAAGATCTTGAGGATAAAAAAATAAAAAACTTGGAAGAATTTCATTTTACAAAAGTACTGATGAATTTTTAATTTGGTTCGTACTGCGCTTTAGCATAAAAGTCAAGCTCTAGTACGTTATGTAGAAAAAGACAAAAGATTTTGTCACACCGTTGAAAACTTCAAAAGCCAATTTTGTTTCAGAAGTCCTATTGCAAAATATGCACAATAGTGTAAATATTATGCAGGTAATGGAATTTAAATAAATACCAAAATAAAAAATAAATTTACCATGTTATTGAAGAGAGTGGATCAATTTGGGTTAAAATATTACGTTTTGTATGCATTGGTATGTTGGTTCTGGATATAATAGAAAATTAGCATACTACATCCTTTTATAGATAGATTCAACAAAAATGTTTTATCAACAATGCGCATCAAACCAATTTTGTTGATGGTTTTCACAAAAACTGCATAAAGGTTTTACAAATATTTAAAACTGTATAAAGGTTACATAATTTTTTTTGGAATTTTGAATGGTACTTTTTGGTTACAAAATTTGATAAGCGAAAGGAAAAAAAATTCTGAGTCATTTTAAAGCAATAAATACTATGACGTATAATTTTACAAATACATATGTTGATAAAATTCATAAGGTATCAGAAAGAAAAACTAAAATATTTTGTAAATTTTAAAGCTTGAAGAGTTCTTTTAAAGAATTATTTTATTATTATTATTATTGTTTACCAAAATTTTAATAGGTGAATATATAAACAATACTTTGCAAAGTAACATGCTTACATGACTATTGGCAAAAAAATTATCTTATTATATTTTTTAAAAAATCAACAACTATACTAGGGAAATGAATTTCTTCTGTTTTAATTTTATTAGACCACTTGAGAATGATCTAGAAACCAAAGAGGCCAAGAGACCAACATGGTTGAACTCCATTTATGAAAAAAACAATTTTAGACCAAATCATTCTAATAAATCATGCTCGACTTGACATCTATCTATATATATATATATACATACAAAATACATACAAAAAGATTTACAAAAGTCGTAGGATGTCAGAAAGATATACATATATATATATATATATATATATGTAACTCACAATCAGAGGTATTTTGGTTAATACTGAGAATAATAATATTTTGGTTTTGAGTACAATTTCAATAGAAAATTGTATTATCAAACTTTCAAAGTAAACATAAATTTCTTAAACTCTAAATTCAAATTACTGATCTAATTATAGTTTTTATTCTTAAAATTAATATTATTATTACTTTAAAATAGTATTTAAATTTTTTTGGTACAATTTATAACCTAGAGTATTAATATTTTGAAATATTTATTTAAATTTTCAGAGTGTATTTTTAAAAATGATACATGAATGAATTTTAAAATGCCATTTTAAACATACTATTATATTATAATTGTAAATTATATTAGATTAAAAAATATTAAAAATGATAGGATTGTAAATAAAAATATGGCAAAGTTTTATTGAATATTTATAAATCATTAAGTTTATTATCTATAATAAATGTAAATAAAAAAGTAAACTAAAAACACATAATATTTTTTGTATGTTTATATTTCTATGATATTCAAATTTAACAGAAATAAGAATATTGAACTTTATTAGAATAATGATAGGTCATATTATGTTGCAAATAAGTAGGTCAATTTCTTTTTGAAAATCATGCTTCAAAATATTTTTCAAATATAATAATAAAAAAAATGATTTGAATAGTTTTAAGGTAAATGCATTTAAAAATATGTTGATATTAATTTCATGCGCATTTTTATTTTCTATAATGTGAATATATATATATATATATATATATATTAATAAGTATCAATTCAATTTTTAATTATCCAAATTTATTTTACATTATTTAAAACTTAATAGAATATGTAGGACCTATGTTAGCAACAATGCATCTTGATAGTTCTAATTATTTTTAGTTTTCTCAAAATTCACTGGAAATATTTTGAAAAAAATTGCCAATTAATCCTTGAACACTTAAACGTTTTTTAAAATGAATACATAAAACTTTTCAAAATAGTGTACAATTAATTTCAACCAACTTTAAAAAATAAAACTGGTGTATATTTGAGTTCATAGTAAAGACAATTGTAACAGTGAGATAACAATATACCATCATATTAGGCAACCATTCCAAAAGTCATCAACCACATTTTTTTTATAATTGAATGACATATGATTTTCCACTATTGTATTTGTATGTGTGTGTATATTGATATATATATATATATGTATATATATAGGTGGATATTAAATGGACCTGCCTTTTACTAAATTGACCCACCCATCCTAACCATCATGATGGAAGGAAAAAAAAAAAAAATAAACAAAAATAAACAAACAAACAAACAAAAAACAAAAAAATTCTCTAGATTCATTCTCTACACACACACACACACACACATATATATATATATATATATATATATATATGTGTGTGTGTGTGTGAAAGTTTATTTTTTATTTTTATTTTTTCTTTTCTTTTCTCCACAATTGTGTGTATATATGTATATATATATATATATATATATGTAAATGAATGAGAATATTAATGCTCCCTTTCATAAAACACAGCCTTAGAGAAAACATCCCTGAAAGTAGCAGTTCAGTCCAACGTAGGGAATCTAGAAGGCAAACAAGAGAAAGCAACCAGTGATGGAAAAGAAGACTCATAAATTTACCCACAGACCATCAATATATCACAAAGTCACATGAGGACAGCAGGAGTTTCCGTGTCCATACACGACCACATTAATTTAAGACTAATCAGATTAGCGCGAATTAACCCACTAATCTCATCCTAAACCCCCACCCATTCCTAGTTTCTTCTGTACAGTAACCTTGAAAAAAAATTGTGCTTTTCCTCAAGGAGAAGAGCTTCGCCCTCTCAACTCTCTGGAGTACTAAATCCTTTGGCTGTGTGGAACAGTGAGATGGCCCACAGAACAGCCCACTAGCAAAACCTGAAGAATGATTTGAGTGGCAAAGTGCGAGAAATGGTGTTGATCACTCTCTGGGGTTGTCGATACCAATGTTTCTGATCAGCCTCAATTAGTGATAAAATCATGTGCGAAAAAAGCTATACTCCTTTCTTCCTCTTCAAGTAGATGCGTTCCAGGATGAAGAATCCGAAGAGAGATCCCACTGAAAACACCGAAAGCACACCCACGGCGATATCGATACTAGCATGGCGACCACTGATGGGGATGACGGTGAAGGTGTTGGCGACTTTGTTAGGGCTGGACTGGCCCGTGGCAACCTGGACCCCGTCGGCATTCACGGCGTACGCGCGAACGAAGTATTTGGCACCAGGAATGGACTTCGCTAGCATGTAGGTGACTTCACCTCCAGCTGTTGTGTAATCCTGTGTGGCGATGTTATACAAGCAGGTCTTGTCCTTCTTCAAGTCGTCCTTGGTCGCGCGCCATCCTCGCAGAAGCTGGCTTTCCACTGCAAAGCACAGTTTGGTCTTGACCTTGCTGGCAGGGATTTGTGCACTGGTGTTGACTGCCCATTTCACTAGAATTGAGTCCTCTCCGGTCTTCACCACTGCAATTCAGAAAAATCGTTCGATCAGAACGTGTTGTGCAAATGGATCTACATTCTGCATGTGATGGGAACCACAGTTTGATTCAAGTGGTGACTTTCAACAATCCAGGGTCAGTTTTGAGGCTGATGATGATGTAGACAAAGGACAATTGGAATCAGTTACCTCCAATTGGTTTGCCATCAGGCAGAGTAGCTGTTACTACCAACGACTTCGGTAATTTACTGAACAAGACCTGTCCTTCCGCATGGCTTGCTAGTCCCAAGATCGCTGCAGCGATCAAGAGGGCCACAGAAAGTTTGCGGGAAAAATCCATTGTGAGGTTCTGCAGAGGAAGATAGATCGATATTCAGTCATTTGAATCGCAAATTTCACACCAGCTAAGAAATGCTACTTGCAAGCTTAGCTTATTTTGATGGTTGGACACAACCGACGTAAAATCGCGAACATGATAGATACCAAAGAGGACACAAAATTGCGACACTACCTCTCCATCAACTTCGTCAGCAAGCCCCAATTAACGATTGATAGTGAATAATGAAAATGGTTTAGAAACGTTGCAATTCTCGATCTATTACTTTACACTGTAACTGGCACCAGAAGTGGACACCAGTCCATCTAAGAACTGTCGAGGGTTTCGAAAATTCCAGCTAATTGACAATACCTACAGCTGAGGAAGACTACGACCCTTGCTCTGCCCACACTTTCTAACGGAGTTGAGAGCTGAACTCACTGATCAACCTGAACTTGCAACCGAAGTGCGATACTTTTCCACAGTCCTAAAGAACTCAGATCAGAAATTGTGCACATTCCACCTTGCTAAGAAGTGACAACTGGTCCGTGGTTCGACTGAGCACACTTACCGCAAAGCAGTTGTCCTCCGAGATGTTAAAGACCTGGCCTTCAGATGCTGAGCTACAGAGGAGGCAAGACGAACGGTAGTAGTTCAGAGATTGGAAGATGAGGCCAATTTATTAGAAGAGTCTGCAAGATATCGAGAGTTCCTGGTGGGGTTTGGTGGAGTTGAGCAGACACAAGGGGCAAGCTAATTGACAGTGAGAGAAGGCGGCGAATCGTGGAATCGTAGAATTCGAATCTCTGTGTTCGCCGCTGTTGGGGGATGTTGGCCCCCGCCATCAAATCTGTTAGAATCACTCACTTCTGCCGAATGTGTTCTTTCCAAATCTAGGTCTCCAATAAACTGGAAAGAAAGTTGGGGTACGCTTTTTAAAAGTAACGACGGCGACGCGCAGCATCCCGTTGCAAGGTTAGGGCACTCAGCCTCAGTAATTATGCTCTTGTTTGTGCTTTTCTTTCGTTATTCGACGGTTACGAGTATCGATTGCGGAAGTACAGAATACTAACGTGCTATGGAGATTACGCTTGCATCGACGGCTGTCATCTCTGCTTTTTCCGTCGACGCGCACGACATCGCTAAACCTTAAATTTTGTCACTTAGTCTGATTAATTTTACGGTAACTGCGGGTTCTCGCCGTTCAAGGGTCAGGTGTCAAACTGGGAGAGATGCGGGACTCTTGAGATTCAGTTCAAACACTCAGGTTCGGGGTTCAGATATTGCTCGGTCCGTCACACAATTCATTCATTTATGCTGGACTGTTGTAGTGAACATTCTCTTACCTCGATAGAAAACAAAGAAGATCCATTTGCTGTCTTTGAAACAGCACTTCTAAATGCCACGCGCGGAACCACGGAAAACTCAGCGATAATTAAGTTCCTCTTCAGCCAGGAAGTTTGGGATCCCCACCCTTACTAGTCACTGCCTAATGCGTCATACTAAGATTCCTTTGCTATTTTTGCCCAAGTTCTGGCCACGAAATAGGTCCACTAGAAGCCTTCGGCCTGCTCTTGCGACTAGATTGAATTCGGGCGGAACCAGACGAGATCTTCGGTTAACACACCAAAATATTTTCACCCTGGAATTTTACTGAAAGCACTCGAATCTACAGTCGTCATTTGGGAGTTTTGTTAAGCCTTTTGTATTCTCTTCGTGCCAGTTGATGGGTAGGTAGAGTTCTAAAGATAGGCGTTGCGGAAGGATCCAACGCAACCAACGATTCACGAACTGCGGCGTACCAACAGAAGGGCCGGTAGAACAGCGATGGTGATTTGGTGATGCTCTTCTTCGCGATTGAAGCGGTGGTGTCTGTGGCCACAAGTTCTGCCAATGGTTATAATATTCGTTTTTATTGTCATTTGCAACTTATCAGTCGATTCAGCCACTTAAGGCACAACTTATTTCAAAAATGTAAAAAATAATCATAGGTTTTATTCCATGATAATTCCATGATAACAAAATATATATTTTAGGATTTTAAACTTTAGATATTTTAATCTATGTTTTATACTTTAAATATTTTAAGCTTAATAAATTTAATTTTCCAACACTAGTGTGTCAAAAAACTAAATGGACCATTAAATAAATAGCTCAATTAGCACCACCAAAGAAAATAGATGCAACTTTTTTATTAATAAATGTGTGATTGATTTCAAGTCATAATTTATTTTATTTTAGTGAATTGAAATATACTAATTTAAAGTTGATATTATAGATTTTGAATATTTGTAATAAATTTATAAAGTTTTTTAGTTGAATTTGAAATTATTTTTTATAAAACCAAAACTATCTTTTAAAATATATATATATATATAATCATAACATGTTTAAAAATATGGATGCTTTGTCACAAATATGTTTTTTAAGTTGTAATATATTATAAGAGATCTTGAAAATTATAAAAATAAAATAAATAAATTACTAAATTATTAGAAACATGTAAGATAGAAAGTATAGTAATTAAATAGATTCATAATATTATGTTTTATTTAAATTTACTTTATTAACCTTAAAATTAGTAATAATATTTTAAAATAATAGTACCAACTATAAAAGATTAGGTTAATTTTTATTTTTATTATTTATTTCAACGTTCTATTTGAAAAGAACACAAATACATACTATTTTCTAAATTACTATTTTTTTCTTCTAAAATTTAATATAAATTGGATTATTGCAATCTTTTTACTAAAAGTAAATTTTCTATGGTTTATCTCAAGTTAGTAATTGGTGCCAAATTCTTCTTAACTTGCATTTCAACTACAACTTGTCAACTTTGATTCAAGAAAAAATTGTTTTTGAAGTTAATACTTATAAATCATTATTAGACAAGAAATATAGAAATCTATTAATGATTAAAGATTAATACAAAGCTCTTTTTTAACTAAAAGATAGAACTTTTTAACTTATTGAATTTTAAAGTATTGGAATTTGGACATTAAATTGATTGAACAATAGGTCTTTTATCCTTCTTGTGGTGACATACATTCTTAACTTGGATAGTATTACTGACTAATTGACTATTTAATTAGTATATTATTTAAGATTAAATTATAACTAACAAATTAAATTAGATAAAAAATTCCAAATTTGCCAAAATCATAATATACTTGTATCAAAAATTGAATTAAATATTTTTTTTAGTAACACCTTTAAATTAATTTAAGATCTAAAAAAACAAATTTGATGTAATATTTTCTAATAATAAGCTTTGTAGGATTTTAGAGATTTTTGGTCAACTTTCACCTATTTAAAAAATAGTTCTTTAAATTGATTCTTGTAATATTAGTTGTACTTAAAATGTTTAAATTTGTAATTTAGAGTATTTATAATAGGTTCTTTTGCCATGAAAGTATAAAGTTGTTTCTAGGCAAAAGTTTAGACAATGCAATTAGAATAGTATTTAGACCTTTCTACAAATTGGATGTGGTTCTACAATGAAAAATACAACAAATGCACAACTTCATGGTATAAAGCATACTTAATTGAAATATTTATGAAATTTCTATATTAAAATAATAGTATATTATATAAAAAAAACAAAACACACATCTAATGCTTGGATATAAATTTCCACTTTCAATAGTGACAAAGATGTGTTTTATGTTATTAAGCTTAAGTTTTTATTTACTTATCTCCTATTATTATTTTTAAAAACATATATTCAATCAATATATAAAGAAAAAAAATTACACTTAATTTTTATTATAATTATATATTACAGAATTTAATTTTATTATAATTATAATTATATATATTTAATTTTATAAAGAAAGAAGTCTTTTGCATATTATTTTAGAATTTTTTAAAATAATTTAAATAAAAATTATGCATAAAATCTTAGAAATTTCTAAAATTTAAATTGAAATTATTATTAAAAATAGGTAATAGAAAATCTCTTGCTTAATAAAATTCCAAATTTCAAATAATTTTGGCCTCTTAATTAGAATGTAGAAATATATAAAATTTTCTTTATTTTAGTTAAGAATATAATGATTTAGTCAATGAAAAAAATATAAATATGATAAAGCTTGCTCTCTATTGAAAAAGACTTAAAAACTGTATAATAGTCAAAATAATGTTATAGATGTAAAATAAAGCACAAAATGAGCTAATGTGTTTTTTTTCAAATGTTGAGTATATTATTAATTATAAGATAGTTTAAAATCTAAGTTTGCATCAAAAACTTTATAATCATTTCTAAAAGAGTAGCAATCTTTAAAAAAAATTATAGGTATAGACTATTATTAAAATTTAAAATACTCCTATATTTTTATTCTTTTACTAAATAAATACAAAGAACTATTATAAAGTTAAAAAATTATAACTTTAACAAAGAATTAGCTAAAAGTCTAAATATTTTTGAAATATAATTTTAATAACAAAGATAAAAGAACAATATAATTATATGTACAATATCAAGTAAATTTATACAAATTAATTTTTGAAAGTTATATTATTAATTTTTAAAAATAAATAAATAAATAAATATATATATATATATATCAAATTATAAATCATTATAAATAATATAAATATATATATACATATATATATATATATATATATATATCAAATTATAAATCATTATAAATAATATATATATATATATATATTTGTATTTAAAAAATCAAGATAATGACCTATTTCTTAAAACATGGCATGCAAAAATAAGTAAGTACTCTGATTCATAAAAGATACTAAAAATATCTTTATGAACAAAAATTTTTAAAAAAAAGAATGTAAAAGAATAATTTATATTTTTTATTAATATGTCATTCATTACTTTAAGTATTTAAATTTTTATCAATTAACATTAAATTTAATATAAAAGATATATCAATATTTTGTGCATTTCACAACCAAGAGCCTTGAATTAAAGTATGAAGTATGCTATATACCAACATAATTCTTGCCAATTGACAAGTGACTTAAGAGTAAAACTATTCTTGACACATTTGTTTATGATGTTATGTTATGTAAAAATCAGCTTGGGAATGCATTAAGCATTTGGATATGGAAAGGATTGATATTAGTTTAAAGTTTGATTTATAATCTAAAAAAATAAATATATAAAGTTTTTAGAAATATTTTTGTGGAAAACTTGAAAAATAGAAAAAAGACTTATCATACTATATTAAACTTCAAATAAATCTTAAAAAATCATTAAAAAATCCAAAATATATACTAAAAGAAATGACAAGTAAGCTTATGAATTAAAATGAATTTCTACTAGCTAGAAGTATATTTTGATTCATAATAATTTAATTATCTAAAGATTATTATAGTTTCCTATTAGTATTTAAGCTGTGTCCAACAAGTTCTATAACATATCGATTTCAAAATAAAACAAATATTTTAGTAGGTGATTTATTCTCATTTTCAACTACTCAATAATTTATAAATTAATTATTTAAATATTTCTACTTACTTCTTGTTTAAAATCCTTATGCTTCCTAATTAATTAAATGGTATACTATGACATTTATAACACTACAATTCAACCACCTAAATAATTCAAAAGACCACATACTTTAAAAATATATATATATATATATATATATATATATATATACATATTTTATATGATTTTAATTTTAATTTTTTACTAATATTAATTATTATCTAATTTTAGATTTTTTATCAAGAGAAAATTTTTAATCATAAATAAAAATTTATCTACTTTTCATCAACATTCATCTACAAGGTTTAATCCATCCAAAGTCTAATTCATCTATGCATGATCCAATTAAATTTAGGTGATTTAAATCATATAATTAATTTTG